TCCCGTGAAAAGCATACGATGCAGAAGAGTTCATTTGCTCCAATATCGGGTAGAATCAACACATTAAATTTTAGAAGCTGTGTGAAAACTGTGAGCATATCGTTGTTGAGAAAAAATTGGACGGGGTAAGACTTGATATTTCCAGACAACATTCAATTCTGACGAAATTAACTAGTGACGTGTGTAGAACAGAAATGTACACCACTCACACAATTGCAGATTTTCGGGTTGTTTGAATATTAGGGGCTAGACTGGTCTCGAGAACTGATATGTTATTTTGGATTACCAAAGAGATCGTTAGGACAGTTAAAGGGACGGCACAATATCTACCAAATTTAAGTACTAGATTATCGATAAGAAAGAAAATATTTATACTAGACATTTCATACTGACGACAGAAATTTGAATCCTACCACGGTGGTACGGATGTATCTTGCTATATCAACGGAACAATTCTGTTCATTATGTTCTTGCAGAATCCCCACAGAAAACAAACAGGTTCGATTTTGGTAAGTCACCGATCGTGCTTTTTGCTGTTTATGATTTTTAATATTGAAATGTGTGATAGGTAATTCTGTTGACCATCTTTGAAAATTTACCTTTACACACACCACTCTCTGTGCGTCCGGTCAAACATGCACTAGGGAAGCACTACACCCTTCCGCATCAAGAACCCAAAACCCTCAATCATTCAGCCTCAACCCTCGATCCTTCAGCCAAAACCCACAATGCTATAGCCACGCCCCGTAGCTGTTATCCTTGACGCACAAACGTTCTTCATACCGCGGATCAGATCAAAAAGTAGCGAAATACTCTGAGATCAACGAATGTTGAAAAGTTTTATTTTCTCCAAATGTTGATGTTACAAAGCTTGGTTAAGTAACGAGAAGATTTGGCGGTCGGATACTGCACCACATGTTGATTGGAGAGTGTTTAACCGATGTGCCCGTATTGTCAAACCATTTGGCACACCTCGCACAGCTTCAGGGTTTTCGTATAACAGGCGACACTCCTGTGAGTAAAAATCTCAATTGTAACACAAACTGTACATTGTTTTGCATTCACAAGTCCTGCCATGAATCAGAAAGTGATACGATAAAAAGGAATGCTTCTGTGTCGTATCTCCGCTTAACGTGAAATCTATTTTTGATGGGTGCCTAGATTAACAGGATAATAAACATCGTTCTCAAAAGGAATGCCCTTTGGTACACCTTTTCCCGTCAAGCTTTAGACAAACTCCGTAATTCTTGAGCCTTAATCGTTGTTATTATGTCATATGCTACAGCGTTAATAAACTGATATCAGTAATGGGGTGTCTTTTGTGAACGATTTTTGGTATACTAGGCATAATAATGCATCAACAATTAAAGAACGGAGTTAAACTTAAGTGGAAATACGGAAAGGTAAGCATTTACTTTTTGTGGTATAACTTTTTAATTTATTCAGGATTTAATAATGTAAAACAATGTACCGTTTATGTTTCATTTGAGATGTTTACTCACAGCAGTAACGCGTTTTAGATTTTCCTTGTAGTACTGTCGTGTGGCATTTGATTCGTCAGTAATAAGGCCTTAAAAACACCACGATAGGTGGCATTAATATTTGTTGTACTTCACCTACCGTTAAGTGCATCTGCAATCTGGTAAATGTTAAATCGGATGGACAGAAAACGCCCCATCTCTTTGTCCGTGCGGGAGACCGATGGAGAGCAATTGTATGTGTACGCAGAGGTGATGATCAAAACATGTAGTATTATTGCAGCCACGGATCGAGAAATAACACTCAAACCTGGATGTTACAGGTTGAAATTCAACGATGAGTTCACGAAACAATTGTGTCCATTAGAACTCTAAAATCACATTGGGACAGTAAAAGGCAAGAATGGAGTACTTCCTGGGAATATCGGTCAACAAGACTTCGATTGGTCGATTGCTGACGTAAAACGTAAAACGTCAGAGATTGAGAGGAATAAAGGAAATGTTAACATCTGGCGACATGTGTTTCAGTCTTGATGCGACAGGTATGCTTTGTCAAATTTTTAATTCGACTATTATTTAACACATTAAAAACTGGTTCACGGAAAACACTGAAGCCTTGCAAGATGTGCCAAATGGTTTTACGGTACGGGTACATCGTTTAAACACTTTACAACCAACATGCGGTGCAGTATGCAACCGCTCTACCAGTGAACAGTCTCTTGGAGTGTCGGTATAAAGGAACGAATTTTCAGTCATACATTCATTCAGTTCATTTGAGTTTTCACAACTTTTATGTTCTTACCTTGACGTAGGACCTACACGAGCGCCTCTTGATTAGTCCCCAGTAAGGATAAGGGAGAGAGAACATGACTGGAGAACAACAGCCAGAGTGTATACTTTGATCATGATACGATACGCAAATAAGAGTAGGTGAATTGGGTGTACGGAAAAGGCGTCGTGACAACAAACAAATCGTGTCCTTGACTATCCGATTGATCGATCGGACGACAGCTGCCTGATTCGTCCTAGTTATCCAGTCGATCCGCTTTGGGTATCACGAGCATGCTCGTGGTGTGGCGCAGATCCGTGCGCGGCTTGACGGGTTCTGTGAACTCTATCCTGACAGTAATCATTAACCATGTACCCTCTTACGCCGGTTTTGGTTTCTGTCCTTTGGACTACCCATTTGGATGAAGCAGTAGGAGAAAGACAGGAAATTTGAAAGTAGAATCGAAGAGAAACTGGGGAATTTAGTGGACTAAGATTGCAAAGAAATTGGGAAAATGAACGAATGCCACTGCTGACGACATACGATGAAAATATTTGTGATGTTTGTCCCCTCCTGTTTGAGACTCGTCAGCAGTGCGTACATTTCTCGCCTCTGCTAAGACCTGAAGTTTCGGGTTGGGATTCGAAACAATAACTCCTGAGCTACATGGCCGACGGTCGTCTCCTTGTGCTTATGGCTCGATCAATTCATAGTATTAGCCCATTTAATTTTTTACAGACACCAGGCACTGCTGACGTTTTATATTCTTTACCTTTGTCGACATTGTCGTTTTTGCAAGCCTTTATTTCCGATCCATTTTGTACCGAATAGAGATGAGATACACGGGAGCAAGCCTACTGTTGAGACTGACCATTTCCAGTTCAGGTCAGGAGACCATGATAGAACTCATCCCTAGTCATGGGATTGAAATCATACCTGGGTAATGGTAGTTGAGAAAATATTTTTCGGAAAAAAGCGATGGGTTAAATGCAAAGTCATGAAAAGATGACGAGCTGCTACATGCTAGGTACAGACTCGGTTGATAGTCTGTGCAGTATTCGGAATAGTAATAGGAGTCAAATAGCGCAAACTCGGATTCGGTCTGGAAACCCACTGAAGAGCTCAAAGTCAGGTAGAACCGAGACGAGCTGTTGGTACAGTTAATTCTGTTCAGAAAATCATGCAAACGAATAGCAAAAGCGTCAAACAGTGATTTGTGAATTCTTCGATGTCCGATATGCCAATGATATTACTCATTTGATTGTCTTCTTTCATTTAATCAATTCGATTGATGGCATTTGACACCACAGGATAAGTCGGGAAATCCGTTTCCTGATTGGCTAGCTGGGCACTGTATACTGGTGCGTGGGTACTCGCTGAACGACTATGACAGGCTAATTGTGTCACATGAGTCAGTTAAGGCCGATAGAATGCTAGGAATAAATAATTCAAAGTCCACAACTATATTTTACATGTTATTGGAGGCTTACAGTCCACCGAAGATGTGCCCATGTGGAGTACAACAAAAATATGACCTCTGCCGAGGTGACGGCCAAAAAGCAAACGGACACAAGCTGCAAAACTTCAAGCCACCTCGAAAATGCGAACGTGCTTCTCAAAAGGAGAGGTGTTAGGCGAGACCGAACTTTCCCCTGAGAGTTACCATGGTATCGCTTTGAAATGGATTTAGACCAACCGTCACTGTGGGAAAGTGTCGGTGTTTCTCGACGATACGGGATCCATAGCAGCCAAGGTAATGGAGAGAATATTGATTGATTGGCCCATTCACGCCCTCGGTGCTCTCGCATTTTCCATTATGGTAGGATCTAGACTGTGCGCAACCCTATAAAGGTGGCACAGTTTTCTATTTGTGAGCCCTCTTTTTCTGGTGCCTCCAATAAAAGCACGCATTGTTCGTAATTGTCTTTTGACTGGAATCGTTGAGAAACCTACCACGAGATGAGATTCATTAATAGACTGGCATTCACGACATTTTGAATTCAAACAGACCAACTTCCAATAGGTGTTGATGGGCAGTGGAGGCGGCAGTGGAGTACTCTTTTGTTCTGAGGTCACTTTAAAGTTCTGATATGATAGGATGGGCTCGTATCTCTGATAAAACGTGACTGTTTATAATATCATCAATTTTCTTATTGTGGTAACCCCTCATATTTGCAAAACTGGAAAAAGGTTTTGACTTTCATCCCTTAAATTGCAGCAAGAGTTGACACTCCGACACGGTTTCAGCACAAGGGTGCGTCACAGCTCAATGGAATAAACTGCCTCAAGGGGGGAGTTTCCGGATTGCTAGAAGAGGATTGGGCGAGTAGTTCTCAAGATCTAATGTTTTTCTGCTATTCTGAACAATACGGTTTAGTCTAGAAAATAAGAAATAGCTTAATAATTACAGGTGAGCATTGTCGAACAATATCGGACAATATCCCCACCCAATTCTCTGCTAGTAGAGGAAAGCTGCCTTTGTCGTATAGATAATGTTTCTTAAAACATGAGAGGTAGAGATTTTCAACATTTTCAGAAGCTTATAATTAAAACTGAACCTGTTCCTTACTCGTGGTTCACGCAACAACAGGTGGGTAAAACACAACGGTGACAACGACTTTGAAACATTGGGGAAATAGAGCCTGTTGTTTCAAGAAGGGAGCGAGAAAATGGAATACCGGGAGTTACAAGAAATTCATCACAAAGTGCTTGAATAGGCCCTTTGAATCCCATATCTATTTCTCCCGTCTTAAACAAGATTGTGTACACCAACGTAGGATTTCAGTCATGAAAAATCAGTCTCAGTTGAACTGTTTCGTTCAGAGTTCGTGGAGTTGCAACAATCACTGACGACAATCCCATAAGTGAGTTTGCGGTGCATTGTATGAAATATTCTTCAGTTAATTATACATTGGCCGACATTTGTTTCCACTTGCATGAACACAGAACGAACAAGTGAACCGAACAGCTGATAGTGGTTCAGTTAATTATGTTTGAGCACTTGATTCTGTCTGGCTCATTCCAACTGTAGCACCCCTCAAAATCAGACAACACATTCGGCTCGTGATGATATTCTTTTGGAGGAGCTCAGACGAAATGAAATGTTAGCCCGCATACTTGCCGAATCTCAATTAGCTCGAGCACAAGAAGCTATCCCAGCCTCTTTGGAAGCTCTGGGGCACACGGGGAAAAAACTCATTCGGGAAAGCTCTACGGATTCGAAATCACATTTTCGTCCTACCGAGAATTCAACAGCAAAACATGTCGATCGTGTTCCGGAACAAAGAAAAGTTACCACTTATCTAGAAGAAGATGAAAGCACCAGTTCGGTCACACCAGACTGTGTCACACCAACCAGTTTAATCGATCCTTCCGAGGTGATTGATACGCGCCGGGCCAGTGAGATAAATGACGTACAGAATAAGAATAATGAAGCTAGGCAGGATACGAACAACAATGTGAAGAGAGAAGTTCACTTGGTACGTCCCACACTAAGTTACTGGCGGTTAATTACAAATGTTTTACACTCAAGTACTTTCAGTGTAGCGAACAAAAAGCGGTTTATAAGGTGAATTTTGTTGTGTAAAAAGCATATGAAGCTTGATCTAAAAAGATAAGAAGCACTGGATAGCTATTGTAACCTGGTTTGGTCTCATCAACAACGCCAGCCCTTCGACCCCAATCGACATCAAACCCGGTAACTCACAACTTTTCAGTGCTTCCTAGCTTTTCAATTCATGTCTCATTTGCTCTGTACAACGAATTGCTCACCAAATAATCATAACAGATCCCCTAATTACTCTCAAATAGTTTAGACTTGCTGCTCGGTAGTTTGTTGTAGAAATGAGTGAACCATTTTTCATTTCAGACCACAAAACAGTTGAATTCAATTTGAATTCAACCGGGTTTTAATTCACGTCGTCTACTTCTCAGATTACTGAATTGGGAAAAGCACAGTTACCCCATCAATTTACGCTGTTTAATTGAGGTAGATTGAGGTTGAGGTTGATTGATCTTACTAAGAACAGAATGATGCACGGAATCTGTGGCTTTTGTCCCGCATGTGATATTCACTGATTAAATCCGCAATCATGTTGAGGAGATGCACCACTGCGAATGTTCAAACGAAGTTTTCACCTTCATCTTGTAAATATTTAACCTTCCACTGTCTTGCGATTGTCTTGATTGTTATCTACCGGCTACCGGTTTGATCAAGCAATGGGAAAGGAGTAAAGAGAAAGTGTTGAAAGTTGAGAGCACTGTCTCGAACAAAATAAATAATTCAGGTAAACTAGCTGTCCATGTGTGATGTTGGACGTACGAAAGTCACTGTTTACAACAAGCGCATCATTCTGTGATTGGCCTCCTGAATCAGGAAGCCTAATGTGACCCAAATAAATCAGTCCTTTGGTTCGGTTCCTCATGCCCTCATATTTAAACATATTTGAACTACACTTAATCTTCCAAAATTTAATGGAAACAGTTGTAAAATGCTCCACAGGTTTTGCGGTGTGTTTGTTAGTGCTTTCACTTTCTACTATCAGATTGTGGCGCTGAGCACACACACTCATCTATTCAGTTCAAGCGGCCTCATGTGGATTTTCTTGGTTTAAGAAGGAACGAATGAGGTAGCACGGGATATGAATCACGAGCAATCAATTATTCGGAATGCGGATATGCAAGCGTGTGTGTGCAGGTGTGAATAGGTACCTAAGCGATGGTATCATTCGTCGTTAGCACTGTAATATAAACAATAATGGATAGGTGGGTAGGTATGTGAATGGTGTTCATTCAGCTTGGTATCCTTTGAGTTATCCTATAAATATATATAGATATATATATATTGCAAGTTTACGTCACTTGTTTAAGGAAAGAGAAAGAGAAGTGAAATGGTGAATATTGGATTTAGAATCAACTGTGGCAACACACTACTGATGAGCTACAGTGAGAGCGGAGTTCGAATTTATTGCTTCATGATTGTGTGATCTGTTTGATGAAATGATGATTGTGTGCCCTGACATAGTAGAAAGAATCATTCATCCTACGGAAAAATGGCACACAACTGATAATTGATTGTGATTTAAGACGTAAAACCAATTCCGATGATATATGCTATTGGCTAGAAAACTATAGTGATTTTCCATTCCCAGTCAGATTTCTTTCTGATTGGATGGAAGTGTTGGACAAGATACTGTAAAAATTTCCCACATAAAATTGAGTCACATTGTAAATATCATGCATAGTTACTACTTGGACCGCCTATTTATAATATGACTGAATCGAACTGATGAGAAGTTACTGATTCTTGCTGTTTTTACCTTCTTCCTTGTCAGCAATCTATCAAACCAACCGAAGCGAACGCGACAAAACTCGTTGCACAACTCACTGTCAACAACCCACTCGTTTTGCAAACTGCTCAAGAGACACCGACATATGACACAGTCGATCTGGTTCCCATGCCAAACTCGGTCACTCAGATCTGTAGACCATGTGGTGATCAGGATATGGACTGTTCTTTCATTGCGGACCTGAGTGCTGGAAGCCCATTCAGTTTAGATGGAATGACAGCTGGTCCAGATGAGGATATACTCTGGCAAGAAACGCCGTCAGTACATGTGACCTCATCTGTGGGTAATACGAGATTTTATCGTCCATCGAACGATCTGACAGCGAATGCAAACAATGATGCAGATGAGTCGGATATGAGTTATTTTTCTGAGGTAAACCTTCAGTTAGAGCTCTCGATAGAACGCACATTCTGCTTATCTACATCATTTTATGAGGCTTTGGTGTAAGCACGCAGTTTTTCAGTTTAGCACTGAGGTCAGACAGCCTGTCTTTTTCCACTTTTTACTTTGTCTGACCTGACTTCACTTATCCCATAGTCAAACCAAAAGGTCCTCCCAACTTACCACCCTGTGATCATGCTAATCGAAAACCTAAGATCGGTATTCCACATCCTTTTTCAATCCAACTTTTTCAGAAATCAAATCAAACTATCTTCAGAAAAATATCTTAATATAGTATATATCTGATTTAAATATATAATATATAATCATCGGGACAGGTTTAGATGTTAGGATGTTGACCTTGTCAGAGTTGCCCAGACCACATACTTTTAGGACAGTATTGCTAGACCGGATTAGCACAACTCGCGAATCAGATACCAAGCCCGTTGTTAAGCCTGTGTACACGGGGATGGGGTGGACTGGTGCTGCGATGTACTTCGGTCCCACGAGCATCCATTCCCGTGACTTATTTTGTTCGTTAGCCGTGTACGCATGTGTACACGTTAACATGCCCTTCAAATATCCCTCAGATCAAGCAGATTATGCTTTGAGACGCTCAAGGTATTCGATCATGTTAAATACTTTATTATTATCCCTCAAGCTGAGGTGCTGCTTGCGGGTTAGACCTTCTCATTTACCACATTATAGAATTTGTTGCATTGTATTGTTGTTGTTGTTGTTCATCTCAATGTTTTTGTATATCTACTGTACAATTCGTAAGTTGGTGAAAATTCACCATCTGGGTGCGTAAAGAGTTTCTTGACTAGACTGCCTTGACTTGATTGTGACTGTGGAAGAGACAATGATAGAATAGCATCAGAAGATACTCGGGAATCATAAGTGAATACAAAGACAACGTGATTTATCGAAGCCATAATGTGTACATCCTATACGGTGGAACCAGCCAAGAATAGAAAACTGCAGCGTTCGTTTCCATGACTAAACTGAAAGTGAAAGAAACTTAAACCACCGTGCTTAAATTGACTGATATTTCTTTGCAAACTGATATCTTTCCAGTTACGGAAGGGTAAGATCCTTAAATTTGTACCTAGATGATTGCCACGTTTTGATTATCTTGCTTTTCATTTCAACATTCTCCTATCAAACTTTAGCCAAATCCCGCAACTATTTTGTTTAATTCCATGAGTACATTGAAAACTGGTTCACGAAAACACTACAGTCAAACGGAACGTGTCAAATGGCTTTACGATACAGGCGTACCTTCCAAGGCGTTTTAAGTCCACTGTGTGTAACATTTGACACCATTATGACATCAATAACGAAATAAAACAAATGCTGTGAAATGTTAGCACTTCATTTACTTCACGAAATATGTGCATTAATTAAGAGCCCAATTTAGGTGAATTCATCTTCAATCAATCAAATTTATATGGAGCAATTTCAGTAGATCGCATTTGACTTGCGGTTACTGATCAGTAAAGGTGTACGATAATTGATATTGAGTGATTGAAACTGACCATTGTTCAGATTGTGCCTTCACTCACATTCCTCAACTCTTCTTCATTTGTGTGTTGTATGGCAACCCTTTGATTGTCCGGTTCCTTCTTCCTGAAAGTTGTATCTTTGCATACTCAATAAAAGGAAGTAAAATTATTAACCATTCACTCGAAAGCATTGGACTTGAGTTGAGCTATTATTAGAGCTCTGAAGCCTATCCCCGACCAAACATTAATTGGCAGTTTTATTCCGCCATGGCATGAGCTGGTTGGCACAATGGTATCACACGCGTTCCATACAATGGGTTCGAGATTCAATTTCCGGAGGGGACGGTGGATAAACACTGCTATTGAGCTCTAATAAGAGCTAAATTCTAGACTACTGCTTCCGAGTATATGGTTGAACTGATGAACTGAGTAATGTGCGTGAATGTGAAGTCTGAATTATGATCAATTCCAATCCATGAATTTCAGTAGGATCAAATAGATGGGTGAATATGTGTGGCAGTGAGTGATACGCTATTTGAATTGTTTAACCAAAATTCACTATGTTAAATCATGGTCATGTAAACAAGCGATTTTCACTTCCCTTCCAAGGCAATCTGAGAGCTTGGATCAGTTTTTGTTGTGCGCACAGGCTTCAAGAGTCGGATTCTCATCGCTTCTGAGGTCGCTAAAGTCCGAAACCATATTGCCCTCGGGGCGTTTGCTGAGAATCGATCAATGTTGTGAATACTGAGAGCATGTCAAGCACTTGGTCCGTCTCTAAAAAATGAACATAAATGTGATTGAAAAAAGCCTTTCCCGAGATTAATTTCAAGAGAAAAGACCATATGGCAATACTGCACGATTTATGTCCAGGGCGCTTTCGCTGCATCTCAACATGATGCATACTGCAGAAAATACAGTGTTTATACAGGGCTTTAGCATGGCAACAAAGTAAAGCAAAATACATTAAAACAGACAAAACATAAAAAGGGAGGGGTAAAAGGACCAATATCACCAGGGTAGGGAGAGACCAACATAACGTTCTTTTTGCTGGCATAGAGGGGGCTTCCATCGATTAATCGCAATCGCCTCGGCAAACCTTAGCA